CCAGTAAGGCCAAGGATTCGAGTAACCTAGCAAACCAGATCCCACTTTGTCTAGTGCAAGTAATTCCCATCGAGATGATCTACCGATCCAACTTAGTGACAAACTCAGACAAAAAGAACATTTCCCCAGTATCTCAACCAGAAAATGTTCGAATCACAGATCGAGGCCACATTTTAAGAATGTACTCTTTTCGTGACCAAGTAAAATGTGCCAATAGAAAACAAGATCCAGCAAGAAGGAAGCAGTAAATAAAAGGAATCCATCTCCAAACAGTTCCAGACGATGAATGATAACATGATCTCGGCAAAGAAAAGCGCGGAAATGGGAAAGATAGGAGGGAGAGAGGGCGGAACGGAGCAATCGTACTGGTGAGGACGAGAACTCTGGGGGTGGCCACGCGGCCGAGCTTCTCCAAGAAGCCGCGGCCCTTGGCGACGCGGATTGCGAGCACGATGTCCTGGGCGCTGCCCCCGCTGCCGATGGCGGCGGCGCAGGCGCGCCGCAGCTCCATGTCGTCAGCGTTCGGCTTCGCCATCTCCGCCCTTCGTCGCCGATTGCTGGGGGAGACGAATCTAGTCCCTTCTTGCGAGTCCACCCCTGGCGATGGATGGAAACCGGCGAAGAGAGAGATAGAGAGAGGAGAGGGGCGACTCTTCGTTTACTGCGGTTTCGCCTCCTGTTGTGGGAGGCGACCCCGTGAGATATTTGCGGTATGTCTCAACGCAGGCCGTAACGCACCGACTCCCGACCCGCTCTCTATTCTACTCAGTGTAACAAACGCGACGAAAGCGGTTCGGATTCAAGTAAATGTTTGTATCAAAATTTCTGGAATAAATATATTGTAATCACCGGTTATTTTTCTTGGATTCTCTACAAATCGAGTTACATATTAAATTTGTAACTTGCCTGTTTTGATCGTTTCCTTGATTGAGAAACCTGATTAAGGAAAACTCAATGATTCATTTTTTTTTATTTTCTTGATTGTGCAAATAGATTAGAAATAAAATTAATTAATTGAATAATTAATTTTAAAAATTATTAATTAATTATTTACTTTGAGAGAATCCTCTATTGACATCGATGGGCTTAAAATTAATCACGAGTTTGTCTCAAGTTGAGATATTGGGAAACTAAGGAATTGAGTCCGAGACTCTATCAAAACTATATCGAAGATTTCTTCGACAAGACATCTTTAATGCTTAAGTCAATATCGATTTGGATGGTTCGATTAAGTACTCAAGTAAATGAGAATATTTAGTCAAAAAAATACCCTGAGTCCAATAATACACATCATTCGATCATCAATGAATCGTATAATCATGCATCAAATCCAAAGGTTACATAGCAACCATTTGTGAGTTATTTTTCATTGTCAGCATTGTATGGCCAATGTTGTGAAGCTAAGTCGACAACATTGTGATGGTGTGTTAGGCAAATCGAAGCAATCAGATGGGGATGATGGGTCAGTGGCTGCTCATGTGTCATATCTCTTATATTATCTGCACCCTTATTGTGTGTCAATACGTGACACAAGGTCGACGTAACATTTAGTATGCTGCCAATTATATTGAGTGTCTATTGGATGATGTTAAGTTGGCTATGTAGAGAGTTGTTTCCTTGTTAGAGTTGATTGAATCATCGTCATCATAAAATGTTTTGTGATCGATTCAACTATATTATTTTCGGAGGATACTTCTTGGCTTGATTTGACGATATAGTCACATCATCATCATAAGACTCGACATGGTTGATTTGATCATATCATGATGCTTCATAGTTGATTCAGTTATGTCGTCATCGTAGGATGCTTTATTACTAATTGCCCATATTGATATGGCTCTTTGTTGCTTATGCTATGCACATTATTCACTTTTATCATTTTGAATTTTAGTTTATGTAACCCTATAGTAGATCAGAATCACGTGTAAGTTGTCATCGTCATATCAAGTTCATAACCCTACAGTGACTCAATATCGACAGTTAACAATCTCGAGCAAAGAAAATTATTAACCCATAATCGTAGCTCTAAAGGTTCACTGAACAATCTTATATTATTGATGGTTGAAACACCATTCTCAGTATTTATCATAATCTCGACCTAACGATTGAATTTTTGTCATTTTATCAAATCCTCTAAGATTCTCTATTATATTAACTTAGGTATTAGATAAATTTTTATCGGATACATACACATTTCTTATAGGGTCATCGTTTGAATCCCCAATTGGAACTGAGCCCTTGATATCCAAATAATTATAAATATTTTAAAAAAAATTCTTTTATATAGAATGGTGTCATTAGCGATAAGAACAGGGACATATAACCTCCGAAACAAGTAGGATCCATCAAATCCTAAATAAATGATAGATAAATAACTAGACGAAGCAGAAACAATATGCTACAGTAGGTATGAACTTCTTAAGGGCAGCTATGAGATATATAATTCATGAAAAATCTTGGACCTCGGCAGCTATGCACCTCTGATCCCAATGATTATCAAAAAGAAAAGAAAAGAAAGGAGAAGGAAAGAAGACACCATACTGGGTGTTCTACCACACTCTCAACAAGAAAACTAGTACCGTTCATATTCTCAAAGAATATAATCTCTCTAAGAAAGCAAAACACTGCAGAAACTGCTTTACCTTACTTTGCAGAACATCTTGTCTTGTCTGTTTAGAGGCAGAGAACAACAACTCAGCCATTCTCGATTGACATCAGTTCACTGCATCTGCTCGAGAATGACCCAATTCAAAGAAGACATGTAGAGTGATGCCTTACATGATGAGCACCTGAAAAGATCCACTTGGAGATGATGCAGCTGCTACTAGAGAGAATCCAGATAAAGGCCAATGTTGGATCATTGTTTGTCTCAGAAGAGCCAGGGTTTTTTCATTCCTGTTCCTTCGTTATGGTTCGCTGCAATTATTCCTACAGCTTACCCTTTTAACATCATCATCTCATGAAGCCATGGCACACCGAGAACCAGTTCCTCCCTCTTGGATTGTTGAGAACCGAGAATAATATGATGTGTAGCGCATATAACTGATGCCGGGATGCAGAAGATTATTGCTTGCACCATCTGCCACCACAAGAGTTCCCCACAAGGAAGACTTATCTCAAGGGGAATAAAACATGCCAAAGATTAGAATCTATCTATCCATCAATCATCACTGTGGTGCTAACCACCAAATAAACTGATGCTCTAAAAATTTTTCATTACGGATCTACACGGGGAAAATGTCAACCAGGTAAGAGGAGGTTGCACTCATTCTTCAATGTGAAAACTCGAACACCTAAAGTAGTATAATGTTTCCGGCAAGTATCCATTCTTCTCCATCATATGACCTGCTTGAATGTGGCACTAATATTTTCCTCATCAACAATAAGATTGTGGATTTGATCAAATTGTTTGCGGTGTCCTGCTAAAATGCAATGAAGCTATGCCTACACACTGGTTTTTCAGATGAAACGTTGAAAGTGCACAGAGCACAAACAGGTGAACTGGAATCCCACTTGCTTCAGACAGAGGAAAGGCAACTAGATGTACGAAAAAGATAAAAAGGAAGAGTAGACCATCATAAATTACTGATACTAAATTGCTGGTGGAACAGAGGTAGGGAAAAAGAGAAAGGAAGAATATGCCAGCATAAGGTATTTCCAGAAAGAATTATCAGCAAGAAGCGATGCAAATACTAGATGAAATTATTGTCCTGTTACCATAAGAAAAATCATGGCTGTAACTCAACAATCTGCAGTTTGATTTTGAATCAAGTGTCAATGAAGGTTTAATGCATCGAAAAGCTACTGTGATTTTCCATGAACTTCAGCATCTGAATAATATACAACCAAATCAAACCGATAATCTTTGACTATGCTGAGTAGCAAACCTAACAAGGGTTTGGATGTTCTCCCCTAACTAAGCCTTGCCTTTTTTTAGCCATTAGGCATTGGATGGTGCAATCATACTTCAAGAGCATATGTTCTTCCATTATCTAATAATGGCTGAGAATGATTCTTTCGATCAATTTGACATTATCTAGTGAACTATTGGATCATCTAAGCTTGGTGATAGAAGCATATAACAATCAACTTGAAGATCTTCCAGACTATTATATATTCACATTACACTAATGCACCTAAACCGCATAAGTATTATTCCCAGAATGACTTCCAACTTCAGAAAACCTGGTCTCCTCAAAATGCTTCCTTATCCTGTCTCTCTTTTTTAGTTGATCTTATTAATTGACACATGTTCTTCTATCTAATGCTTGATGTATCTTCCAAATTCTTCCTATCCTTTGCACTTTCTCATAATGATTTTTAAGGTTAGAAGAGCATCCTACAGCTATCAGACCTTTATGAAAGAAGAGGGGAACAAGTTACACTAAGTTCGTTGCTATTTCACAAAAATATATCCACAGAACAGTCTTCGACAACTGAGGTTACTAAATGCATTAAAACTTAGTTATGACAACACCTTGAATGATGATCTAAGCACACAAATCTGACTCCAACAACTACATTTTTACTTGTTCATCTTAAATTCGTGTCCGAAAAATGGTTCGGACAAACGTGGTACCCAAAGAAAACCCAACCTGTTTCCATTTTCACTTAAATAACAATGACAAGAAGATGAGGCATCCATGAATTTTATCGAATTTGAATCCAAACATAAATCAAGTAATCACCTAAGTAAACCTAGTTTTTCCGACTGAATTTATTACACATCTGACTAAAGAATATCCGAATTCGATTTAAGCAGATCATGTAAACCTTAATTACCGAAAAGTATAGATCCACTGATCCTCTATCGAACCTAAGCACACTCTCCATTATTGAGAATAATTATCCTGCTACTCTCCAGCAAACTCAAGTGCACCAAAACCCTGGCACACTGTCCATCAGCAAGAATATATGCCAAACATCCTTATTCTTCAAGCCGCATCAACTTTATAATGCATATATATACACAGACATACACATTACCAACCTCAGCGTAGACCTCCTGAGCCTCCTCCTGTGTACGCATCTTCCATGGTCTCTTTGCTATAATGTGTTGTTCGATATTGTACAGCTTCAGATCCACGCAAGAAAAGGGTTGTTAGAATTGGATTTTGGAACAGGGGAGATATGAAGTATGGGGAGATCACTCACTTCAGTCACCCGCAGCACAAGCTGCGGTTCGAGTACGCGGAGGTGCCGTTCAAGTGCGACGGGTGCAAGGAGGTGGGCATCGGCTCCCGCTTCAAGTGCAACCTCTGCGACTTCGACCTCCACCGGCAGTGCGCCCTACCGTCGGCGGCGCCGCTTCGCCACGCTTTCTACCCCAAGTGCGCCTTCCAGTTCCTGGCGCGGCCCCCGGGTGACGCGTTGCGTTTCTGCAACGCATGCGAGCGCGACGTCGCCGGCTTCGTCCTCCACTGCGGCGCCTGCGGCTTCGACCTCCACCCCTGCTGCGCCGCCCTGCCCCACGTCCTCGACGCCGGCGCAGGCGGGGGCGACGCTGTACGGCTCTATCTCTACCGGAAGGCGGGCGCGCCGTGCCACCGCTGCGGGCGCAAAGGGCGGAGCTGGAGCTACCGGAGCGCGTGCAAGAAGTACAACCTGCACGTGGCATGCGTGATGGAGATGCTGGAGGAAAGCTGGCACGAGCTCTACAACGGCGGCGGCGGCGGCGGGGACGGAGGTGGGGCCGGGAAGAGGGGGTTGGTGGGCGGCGTCCACGGTGGCATGGTGGGCGGGGGTTACGGTGTCAGCAAGATTCCGAGCATCAAAGGGTGGGAGAAGAACCACCACAGGGGGAAGGGGAAGGTGAAGCGGTGCTGCGAGGTGGCAGCGATGGCCGTGCAGTTCATCATCTCGGCGGTGTTAGGTGATCCGACGGCCATCATCGCCGGCATCGTTGGCTCCTTCTTCTCCAGATAATGTGATCAAGTGTAGGATCGACACCTGTGCATCAACAGCCGTGAAAAAACCGCTTTCTGAAACAGAACCGTCACCGTGGGAATAAGTGTTGCTGCTTTTGCTTTTTAAGATTCCCAAAAACAAAATAACTTATTTGCTATTATACTTTTTCCAAAACATATGTTCCTCAAAATCAAGATATATATATATATATATATATATATATATATATATATATATATATATAATATCTCTTATAAAACTCATGTTAATTGGTTCAACATGACTACCGGTAGCAAATGAAATATTTAAAATATTAAAATCCATTAAATTATCACTGTCTCTGCCCTAATAGTCAAGCAATAATCAATTACAGCGACACCAATGTCAAATTTTAGCTTTTCTGGAACATGCATGCTAAATGCAAATTAAGAGGGATAAATGTGAAAATTATTATTTTTCAAATAACAGATATGTAATTTTTATCAAAACCAAAAAAAAAGAAAAAAAAAGCAAGAAGTGCTCCACTATTGATGACATTACACATTTCACTTTGCTTGTGGATGAATCAAGGAACATTTGTCCTCACAAAGAACCATAATTTTAAGCTGAAAGCAACCTTAACACAAAAATCATGTGGTACTATACTTCAATTTTGCATCACAAGCAGAGGCAGACTTTGCATCACAATGGATGATACACATTTCAGGGTCGCATACTTCAGTTTTGCATCACAAGCATAGGCAGAGTCTACAATACTACACAATGCAGCAAACAAGGGAGAGAGTAAGTTTCTTCTCAAGTACACTTACTTATCATCATATTCATATGAAAGGGCAATCAGAGCCATCGGCAAATCCTTGGTTCATGCTATAGAATATTAACCCTAACTGCACTCATCTGCTGAGAACAAAACTTTTTGCCATTATAATTTTCACATCTCTACCTAATCTGAAATAAACACAATATATAACAAAGATGCCCAACACAATTTACAACTTAGAGATGACCATTTCATCCTAGTCCGTATCTTATGTTTGGACTTGTAACATCAGACTCGAATGGAACCTCAGTTCGCTCTTTCACTATGCACCGAGCTTTCCCATCTTCAATGACCAGAACCTTCCCCTGTGGGCAGTGACTGCCGATCTGCCTCTCTGTTGGTGGTCTGCTCTTAAGCATTGGTTGATGCCCAGCAAAACTTACCATAGACATCATACTAACAATTGCTATTGTTGACTTGACAACCAATCCAATGATATTTCTAAATCGCTTTGATGTCTTGTCATCCTGGTTCTTATTGGTTCCACATGCAGTTCCCTTGCCTTCCTGCTTGGCGGCAGCTGCTGGTCCATTGTGAGTGGTCTTATTCTTTTTAAAGTGTGAACGAGCGCCAATGTCATCCAAAACAAACAAGTCAGGAAGGTGGGTGGGATATGGGGGGAGAACCAGGTTGTCATCAAGCTCAATTGCTTCGCCAGCAAAAGTCGCAACTTCGTGAATCGCTTCCAGCTCCTCACCTTTGTACTCCTTAAGTTTGCTGAGCAATATCATTCGACTGCAATCAATCTGGGAAAGAATTGATTCTCTTTCATACCTTTGTTGATGCTGCAATTCCTGAGCATATAGGAGACAAAAATCAGACATATATCAGATTTGGCCAAATTAATATTTTCTGTTGACAACTCACCACTACACCAAATTACAGGTTCTTACTATCCACAACATTGGTAATTAGTGAATGACAATGCAGATGTTGACAGATTTATAAATTTTGAACCAAAACAAGTTCTAAGGAGAACAAAGAACTATGAAACTTATGAGGAAGAGGTCCATTTAGTGAATAAAGCACATAGGTTCAAAGTAACTACAATCCATATGATTCTCCTGTATATGACTAAGATCTGACCCCATCTAAGCAGGTTATCAATCACCAGCAACAGCTATATCAAGATGAATCTGATAATGGGACTCCATGAAGCATTCATATAGGGGTGAGTTACCAATCATGAGGGCTAGCAGCACCCAGGTGAGTTTGGCAACTATATGCTGAATCAGCACAATAAAAATGAACTGGATAATGAAACTTGATTTGGAAGAGAAAATTTGAGCACAAGGTACGTGAAGAAGTGCCTTTACAGGTCAAGATTACTAAATATTTTAGCTTTATTATGTCTAGACAAATGAATTCATCATTTCACTGCTGATTTTTACACTTCTACTAGTCTGAACTGTTAGGTTATCTTTTTTCTAAATTATTGTCATTTCTATAGATATGTAGAGCATAATAAACTTGATAATTTTTTATTTCACATCCTGTGTTTTCTTGATATCACAGTTCATACTCTCCTGTTTAAAGTTACATTGCACACCTTGTGTATTTCCATTCATCAGATATGCCTACAAAACCATTACTTCAATTAATTTGTGTACATGGATGAATATACTTTCAAATTAATTAATATGTTGATAATAGAAACTAAAAAAATACAAAAACGATTTCTGTTATCCAATAATTACATAAACAGATCCCTATTAACCATATTGACCACATAATGTCACTCATCACTAAAAAAAGTGCAAATGATATGCCTACGACAATTCTGGAGAAAGGAGGATGAAGGCAGAAGAAAAATAAGGGCCAGGTTCATTCAGAATGAGAAGCAAGAAATGATGGGTGGAAAAGAGGAAGAAGAGAAAGAGGAAGGTGAAAAAAAGCTTTCCCGTACTGAGGAGTTTATTTGTAATAATGAAAAGCATGAATATATCAGTCATATTTTTAGCAGATTCACTCAAAAGATCAAGAGGGAATATTTGGGTGAATTTTCCCTTTTGGCTAACGATGGGACACTGGCTTGCTGTTGTTGCCCTTTTGGCCAACGGCTTACCACACGGAGAAGAATGCAATTATATGGGAAAACAAATAACACAAAATATAATTACTAACATGAGAAGATTCGGATCATAATATCATGGAAACACAGGCTGCAAAATAAAATTTTCTCTAAACTTAATCTTGTTTAAACTCAGATCATGATAAGTATGATTTTGCATGGGGAACTAAATAACACAATCCTCAGAAATTGAATTGTATTCCTATATTATTGCTCATCTATCAACTACCAACATATCTGTCTCAATAACTTATTCGTATAACCAAAGGTCCTTCTTTATTGCCTCATAGAAAATTAAAATTCATCGAATGAACTTTTAAATGACATGGAAACTATAAAATGTAAATTGACTGATAGGATCCGTAGTAATTGTCAGGAATATCAAGACAAAAAGAAAGAAAGACAAAGGAAGCAAAGTTTTGCAATTGACATCAAGCATCCACAACAAATCATATGTGACTGGATACTCCAAAAAAAGAAAGAAACAAATTTCAATGACTTTAAAGAAAAATAAGTTAACGTCCACTCAATCACCTTTTCCTAACAAGTAACGGAAAACAACTTATACATATCAGTCCATGTTTTAGTTAATTTCATGTTATTGAATGTTTGTCTTTCTTATAAATATACACAACGAAAAGGTATAAATAATTCAGTATTGTGCAACAAAATAGTGGGAAGTTTTGCTAAAATGGTTCTTATCAAAGTTGCAAGCTCTATCAAAATCATATGAACTATTTTCCTTTTAAGAAACCCCTTTTCATCTCTTTCCATCCTCTTTCTTCTTATCGATCCTCTTATGTTGTCACTTTGGCAGCAGCAATGATGAGAATAACCCTCACCTGTCATACTTCTGCAGACATCGTTTATTTGAGTTCTACAGCAGGCCACAACATTGATCTGGGGTTCACTTCAAGCAACAAAAGTTGGAACTCGTTGATAACCTTCTCGCCAATCAAGATATACAATCTTCTTTCCTCCAGAGAATTAGGCTAATGCCAGCAGGAGTCATGGCAAAAAAGATACTATCTAGTTTTCTTAAATTTCCTTACAACATGAATTCTTCCTCTTTGAGATCAAAGAGTGATGTAGAAATTGGTGCATCTGCAAAACAATAAAACCCTCATCTTCACCATGCCCTGAGCAAATGTCGGCTGGAGAATTTTTTTGCACCTTTGCATCAAAACATGCTCCATAAACCGCATTCAAAACGCTAAAGGGTTTAAGCAAGACGGACCTTTCCGTTTAAAGAATCTCAAGCATCTATCTTCAATTCTTCCATAAGCCTCAAGTGCTAATATGAACCAAACCCCAGAGAAACCCTAACCCGGACATCCATCCCTTCTCGCATCGCAAAGAACGTAATGTTACGGTTATCATTCAAGATTCTGTACCTGCAAGGCCGCGAGCTGCCGCTCCAGCGAGTCGAGGGCGTCACGGATACCGACGAGGCTATCGGCCTCCTCCTCCTCCTCGGTCGCGGCACCACCGCCTGCATCACCGTCGTCTCCTCCTTGGCGGCAGCCGCCGCCGCCACTTCCACCGATGCAATCGCTGATCTTGGATCGCAGCTCGGATGCCCGAGCCAACACCAAACCGATCTCCTCCCCCTCCATAACCCTACTCTTCGCACCCTCTTCCCTAAAGAGTTATGCAGCGATGAGGGGCCTTACTGCTTCCCATTCTCCATCACCCATCATATCTTTGCTTGTTTGTTTGTTTGTTTGTTTGTTTGTTTGCTTGAGGTTTTCCTAAATCCAAAAAAATAAAAAAAACACAACTTTTTTATGTCTCAAATTTCAGAAAAATAATAATTAAAAAAACAATTCAATGCGATTTCTTATTCCATTTTCTCAATCTGTCAAAAAAAAAAGAAATTAATTTCCTTGAAAAATCCAAACAAAAAATTTCCCACTTACTGAATCACATACACAAAATTATTAACTTTTTAAAGAGAAAACAAATACAAATTTTCTTTATATTAATAATATATCAAATATGTTAATTACACATTTTCTTTACTTGGATTATCCTCATAATTACATATGTTAAGGATTTTAGTATATTATGCTACAGTTCTCCTAATCAACACCATCCATCATCACCGACATCTATGCCTTCTTCTTCCGGGCCTAAACAGTAGTGATGATCACATGAGAAGATGTAAACCTCCAACATTTCTTGAAACTAATCAGTCCAATCTATGCAATTTCCTCGAAAGAAAAAAAGAAAGGCAAACACATTATACCTTGTTGATCAAGGTTCATTTGGACTGTACATACACATGTAAATTACATTGCAACCTCCATATACAAATCTGCCAACTCCTTTTTCCTGTGAAGAAGAAACAAAGTAATGGAACCATCAGCTCACTCATGGCAGCCAAATCTGATTATTAAGTCTCTTTCTATCTGCTGTAACTTGTCAATTCTTTTGAGAGCAGGTATCTGAAACTGAAGTTGTGGGGAACCCACTCGATGGTCTTCTTGGATCTGCCATTTTGGCATCTCTGCATGGCCATCCTAAGAGTCTCAGGAAGGTAACACTGAACCATGTCCACCAATCTTTGAGAGCTTAGTTTTGAGTCCTTGGCATATGAATCTATGAGCTTTGGAAGAAGGATCTTCTGTTCCTTCCAAATACCAACGGTGGCACGAATGTAATCTTCCTTTGCTGATTCTAGCTGCTGGAACAATCGATCCGAATAATAGATTCGAACCTGAGGAACACAAACACGATGCAGCCGTTTCAGAATGATTGAAGTTTACAGAGGATATCGAGAGTTTCTAATCGGAGTTCACAGAACACCAGCTTTGTTACTTCTCACTCGGCAGTAACTAGACCACAATGAAACTTGCAGTGCCACAGAGAGAGAGAGAGAGAGTAATGCAATTAGGGAGTTTACCGCGGGATCAGAATGGCTGCCTGAACAAAGTGCAAAGTGTAGAAGAGGTTCTGGTTGTTCAATTGCGTAGGATTTCCATTGGACTCCAGCCTTGTGTTTCAACCTTGGATAGAGCAATGTCCGAAGCCACTGCAAGCAATGAAGAGCACTCTGATAAGCTTTGTGCCAGAATGTTAATGTACAGGAAAGCAATTCAAATGACTCAGAATTCTTAGACCAGTCTTATATGTGTTCTTTTAGAGGATATGTTTCAGATTGATCACAGAACTAATTCCTGAAACATTTTGGGTCATTGTACTGATAGGTGAATCTTTGCATTTACTTCTGCATTTACACATACATATGCTTTGACTCCCTCACTTGACCTTGCAGATTACTACATTATAGTCAAATTTCTTTCTCTTTCTTTGTTCTCTGTACTATTTCATTTTCACATATTTTCAGCATAAGTGAGTCAGATTGAGATCTCAATTTATGTGATCAGTTCTCTGTTTTCATAAACATAAAGATCCTTTTTCCTTCTTCGGTGCACATGTTCATAATATATACGGTTCCAAAATTTTACATGCCTGTAACTCTTTTGACACATTTGACAGATGAAGAATGGTGGATTTAGGTGAATAATCATGTCATTATGTTTTATCAAGGAAGACGAAGATATGGAAGTGAGAACATGATTTGTTAAAACTATCTTGCAATGCCTTGGCGAATCCCTGTAACGACATAAACCTAATCTTTTTCTTGATCATAGCGGGAAGAAAAATAAAGACAAAAAATATGAGCCTTACCTGCCCAGTACAGTGTGTCCTGCACCCAAGAATATAAGTTTGTATCATAGCTGCATTTATAGAACGACCACCTATGGAGCACATAGCCTGGAATAAAGCAATAACATGTTGGAAATGTATGTTAATTTCTCATTTTGATCAAGCAAAAATGATAATGTACCTTGATCGACAAAGAAGTCTTTTTCGCATTCCCCTCGGGAATTCCATATTCGACGTATGCCTAAGGAGCACGAAAGTCAATTTATATGGTGCAAAATATATTCTTCAACTAGGAGTAATTATCTGGAGAACATGAATTAGCTCTGGTGAAAAAAAATTACATGCATGATTATAGCATTGTGTATGTTTATCCAAAAGGCAAGCTTTTCATCATTTTTCAACTTCCTTGGATCAACTATCTCCAATCGATGAAGGATTAACCTGTCAAAAGATTTCAATTTAATGTTATGCTTCAGCTATCGAAGAATAAGAAAGATCATAAGAATAAGAACAATTTGACAAATATTTGTTTCAACTTTGTCGAAATTTTTATGCAGTACTGAAGGTCAGCATAGTGCTAATGAGAAACAAAGTGCAGATAAAGAACAGTGCTTGATGATTGACATGATTTGAAGCTGGATCAACAGAAACGTATCCTATCAGATCACTTTACTCACTTGTAGTTATGTAGCATGTCTTCAACATCCCTCAGTCTCTGACGGTCTCTACGAATAAGAGGCACCTCCACCATTGCGTTGTATGGTCCACTGAATTCTTTCAGTCCTTCAACTTGAAAAGGATTTATCAAGCGAGAATCTAGATTAGATTCCCTTTTATAACCAGGACTCCACAATTCTCCGGGATAGTGGGGAGATAGTGCACTCATAGATGAGGAGGATGAAGCCGGAGAAGATGAAAAGCCATGAAAAACCAAAGGAGGGTCAACAAGTTTGCAATATACAGCACCCATTAATCTAACCATGTCTTCCGAAAGTCTATTAGGAGACTCTGGAACATCATCAGTGACACCAGTCTCAAGATATTCGGCTAAGCTGATCACCCCAGAATTAACATTTTGTTCTTCCTGGTCAATGGCAATTCGGAACAAATATAATGAAAAAGAAAGACAATAGTCAGATCTGATAAAAGTTAAAGCTTGAAATCTACTTGCCTTGAGAAAAGACAAAGGTTGAGAATGGAATGAGTGAAGAGCTCTAGCTAGACTTTCTTGTGAGGGTGAAATCCTAGCAGAACAAGTTGCACGGTAAGAAAGAGAAGAATGGCTGCGATGAATGCCAGGACCTAATAGAGTTTCCTGGCACTTGATTTCACAACCTTCATTAACCAAGTCGGCAGTCCATTTCTGAGGCAGCTCTGTCTGACTAGATTGCACTCTTGAGTTTCCTCTATTAGATGAGATTCTGAGTTTTGCAGATTCATGGAGCAACTCAGGTTTGGAATTCAATGGCTTTTTCAATTGATTCTCACTAGCAGGGGGAGATAATGTGGATGTTTGCTGATCAAAAGCCTTGCGATAAAGTGATAACAGATACTGCTCTAGATGCATAACCTCTAATTCCAATACAGCTATCTCCCTTATCAGTTCCTTTGTAGGCTGAGAACACAAGAAAGTAATATTAGCTATATCGGCAAATGGTAAATATATCAAGTATGCAAGAAAATTTTCACCTAAAATATTGAACTTTTACACAAATCAGCTATTCTTAGGTCTATATTCAGTAGTCATTAAATAAGTCAACCTTAACCATCACTCTTGAAATAACATATCAATAGGTATCAAAATGATGAAAATAAAGTATACTACATAACGCACAAAAGAAGTATTTACAAAGTTTCCTGCTTTGTGAGTCATTCATAGTGTAAGAAGCAAAACACAGTTTACTGAAATTTAGGTATATTAGGGATATTTGAAGTACCCACCAATATATATATATGTGTGTGTGTGTATATATATATCAAGTTGTTTAGTGTGATTAATACTGTTTAATGGCTAGAAAGATCATAATTTCACAATTTCAATAGCAATTAGTAGAAAAGAAAAACAGCAGTGGGCAGGGAAATAGAGAAAGGAAACTACCTTTGGCACTGATCTTTCATTTGAGGAGCAAACTGCAGAAGAGCCAAATCCCATTGCCTTTTCTAAAGCACATCGCATCATCATTTGATCTTGTAGCCGCTTCTCAAGCTGCAGAATCTGCAGCATATTATAACAAGTAGGGATTAGTTCCTAAAATACATATTATTTGGACTTGACCACCACAATCCTTCTAGAAATTTTGAAATACCATAAACTGGTCATAAAGTAAATTTTCAGGATTCTTATAGTGCTCAAGATGTGCTTCCCATATTATAACAAGAAATAAGAAAGGAAACAAAAATCTTCTATATTCAGCAATGTATAAGTTACCAAGAAGAATATTAGACTATAAAAAAACAAATGGACACTGATCAAAGAGCAGATTAGTAGTTTGCCATTTGTAATGCAGGCTACTAAACCCTTTCTCTGATAATTTTTTTCCTGAGGTACCATTTGTAGTACCTGCAGAAAGCCTGGAACATGAACTCTGATGTAAAAATCTTTAATTACACTTACAAGTGGGTTTTTTATTAGTAAACAAGAAGTAATTATCCTCTTTTGAGAAGTCAATGATTAGCAAATTCATCAAACAAAAAGCCAATAAAGATGCTGAAATCAAATAAATATACCAGAATTTCATGCCATGGCTAAATATCATTAAACATCCAATGATTGATGTTCATATTTCATTAGCTTCACAAGTAAATTTATATGCATTTGTATCAAGCTTCAGTAGTCAAATTGTAACTGGAATCAAAGAAGGATATAAATCAGCATATAATTTGTGTGCCAACTCGGATAAAATTCATCAAGCCACTTGAAACCAGATCTAAAGTACCTCATACTTCAATGAACTTCGGACACTAGCTTCAGGCAATGGCTTATTTCTGATCTCACTGTCACCGGTAGACTCTCCAATGACCTTCAATTCAAAAGAACACTGATAAGTGCTTCCTTAATGAAACAGATGAAAGATAGCTGTCTTTACTCTGCTGATTGCATAGCTTCCATGCCAAAAGAGTTCAGAAGCACAGTAAAAATGCAACATAAATCTCATCCGATTGTTCCAGAAAGCAAGATTGACATATGGATCATAACCAAAAAAAGCCAAATATTCAACATGAGAGATCTCAAGAAATTAGAGCATAAATATACAGAAAAACAAATGAATCCACAAAAGCTTAAAATTTATTTCAAGTTCCGGAAACTGAAAGCTCCGGAAAAAGATGAGCTTGTACCGGCTTAGCATGGTGGATTGATCCAGGCAGAGTCTCCAATTCAACTTCTCTGTTTCTCTGGTAGGATTCACTGACATTAAAGACCAGCAATGATAAGCAAACATAGGTTAGGAAATGAATGTCATAGCTTTCCTATAGAAAGAACACTACTTCCACTTATCTCTAGCAGTAATATAACTTAAACTTTCCAAAAAATCTGTGGCTTTCTTCATTAGCAAATGGCAGATAGACAGTAACAGTACTACTGGGAAGGAGATCAGCTACCTCTTGGAGCGCTTGTGCCTTGAAGATATCTTGTCCACTCGAAGCATTTTCTCCAAAAAATAACTTTGGCATTTCGCATCCTGCATTTGGATATTGTAACATTTCCCCTCGAATTCCATAAGCACACAGATCGGTGGAAGCAGCTGAAACATCAGTGGACCTTTGATCAGGAAGAAGTCACATCATAATCGTATCAATAACCGGGATTCTTCAGAGAAAGAAGAACACTTGCCTCAAAGGTTGCTGAGATGAACAATGGCCAAACGAGTCTTCAGATCTCTACAACTCCCACCAAGTAGATCAGTCTTCCTAGTGTGAAGTGCAACATGCAGTACAATCCAAGCAATCAGACAACCAATATGTAAGGTTTTAAGCCTAAGACAGGAAGAGTCCAACTCTGCCTATGAGTGCTTAGAGGACCACCAAACACACAACCAGAGGCATTGACCTTTGACATCCTCTCTTGGGTGGTTCACCTTTCTGGTTTACCTCTCAAGAAATCAGAACACAAGTGGTGGAACTTTTCCTGAAAGTCATACAACATCATTAACCATCCGAAAAGTTTTACTGCTCACTATCAAGATTATTATTTCAATTAAAATTCGCTTCGCTTGATGAAGTTTAAGATGCTTTGTTCTTTTTGTTTTGTGGTTTTGATATGCATGGTACCAAATCAAGTTTTAGCCACTGCTGGTTTCACAGTAATTGGAGCATAATAATAATGAGAACAATGGATGATGGATCGGAGACAAGAAAAACTAAGCCTCGAGCAAGGAATCTCAGCAGAAAGGACAAGGAGGTTTTTGTCCAGAGAATGTAAAGAGCTTTTGGAAGGTGAAAACTAGCGACGAGCAAGCCTCGAAAGGGAGGAAAGTGAGGGATAAAGTGGCATTGGGTACCTAAATGAAGCTGGCCCCTGTTGTGGTCTTTCTCTTGTTAAGGTCCAGTTATCTCAAAAGAAGCTCGAGATACTTGTGATGTCTTCTGTTTCATACATCTTAATGTTTGTCAAAGAATCAGCTTGTTTCTTCTTCAATGATGTGGATGGGTTTGGCAGTTTCTAGCACCAGCAGGAGACAATGTGAGCAAGGTGGTCAGTCAGCACCACTCACCTGCTCCCCCTCTTTTTTCTCCTGTGACAGGAAAAAGCTTGAGCTTTTCTGAAGTCCCAGTGGGGTGGGCAGAAGAAAGAAGGCAAAAGTCTCACTTTCAGAGTCTCTGGCTCTGCAACTTGGAGAGTTTTCTATGGCAGCCAGAGTAGGCTCCAGGAGTGGAAGATGACCTGATCCTTTTACTGCTACTACTGCTGTTATCCTGCAAAGAATGTTGGCAGTGTGAAGCGTTCTTCCTCACCGCTTGCAGCAGGTGAACACGGTGCTGCTGTTCTGCAGATCTCCGAGGTTGGGGTGGAGATGCACCAAAACAACTGCTAGGTTGAAGGTAAAGGAACATAGGCGTCGTTTCATATGATGCAAGGGAGACGGTAGAGTCTCTCAAACGCCAAAACACACATGGAGGAGGAGGTCTTTGTTAGGTGAGCTTTCAGGAATAAGAGCCGAGAAGATACTGTTCATGTGTTGAATCATGCAACACTGCGATCGAAGGTCAAACGCCGTCAGAGCTCCAAGACAAATGTTGGAGTTAGCGTGCATGAGCTCAAGTAGCAGCCTTTTTGTCCATATCAGCTACACGTAATAACTCTACTCTTTAGAAAAGAAGAGATGACCAAATACATGAGGTAGGCAGAAAATTATTGGGAAGAAGAAATAATGTTTAGCTATCAAAAGCTTATCCTTGAAAACATACAGCCATGAGAAAACGTATGCATGATTTTAAGGAATAAGATTCATGTGAGATGCACATGAACACCGAATCACCGAACCCAATGAATCGATACTTTATATTTCTTTTGAGCCCAATGGAGAGTAGTATTACATTACCCTAAGTTGACTTTGAACAATGGCCATCAAGGGTTCAGTTCAAGATATTTTTCCTCAATTTGAGGCTCATTTTATTTTATACACGCAATAGTCGAGGCTTCATATCAGGAAATTTACAAGGCACAGTAATCATGAGACGAGCTGCAAAGGGTGAGCATGAATCTTTTGAGGAGAAGTTTTGCATAGAGATGATACCTGGAAAGCCACATTTTAGTGGCAAAAGTTAAGGTTGTCTGGTGCTTTGTTTTCCGCTCAGATCGAAGTTTCCGACAGAATGATCTAATTTAGGTTAATTATATATTACCTCATATAATTAATTATTTTTAATATTTTGATCATTATATTTAAAAAAATATATTGATATTTTTATAATTATGAAAGTAAAATATCTAGATCTATTTATCATTTATCATAATGATATCAGTTTTACTAACAAAAATATGAAAAATAAAAAATAAAAAGATAATTTTACATTCTAGTTAGTGGTAATGGACGGTACCGGTAATGAACGATGACGATGTCACTGGAGGTCGCGAGTATCTGTTGTGAATGAGGAGAGCAAAGACAAGAGGTGAGGGCTATTCTGCATCTACGTCGACGTTGACATAATTGTCGAGTTACTCTTTCGCCCCTCGGCATTTGCATCGATGACCTTTTTATCACTCGACAACTATGTCAATATTGACGTTGATATAAAGTAGTCCTCATCTTTTATCGTTATTCTCCTCGTCAACAATAGCCACCCGCACCCCAGTGACGTCACTATCTATCACCTTCAAGTAAAATATTAAAATTATTTTTTATTATTTATTTTTATATTTTTATCAGTAAAATTAATATCGTTTGAATAAATGAACATAGATACTTTAACTATAAATATGTTAATATTTTTTTAAAAATATATAAAAATCGAGATAATAACTATATAAGGTAAAGTATAATTAGCATATTAATCTCCAACTCTTTTGAACCCACCACAATCCAACTGAAGCACACATTTGTATGGTTGCTGGTACGGAGATGGAACCTTTGAGTTCATTTCTCTCGGTTTCTCTCTCTCATTCTTTCTGAACAAAGTAGTAAAAGAATACAGAAATTGGAAGTAAAAAGGCATTCTAATTGTCAAGGCCAATAATAACATCGGACGGCTGTCATGGGCTCCGGCCATGTCACAACCAATGTCACGCCATGCTATCGCCAGGTCAACAAGAAAAGTACTCCCACGCGCCGAGCCAGGAGCCATATAATGCACCCTTCGGCACACCCCATCATGGAAAACTTGGGACGACGCTGTATGGTGTCGTTTCGTGCATTCCGGGACAACGACCGCACGAACAAAGGTACCACCTCGCCCCTCGAGGATCGGTCGTTGCACCAAACCCGTGTACGATCGATCCTCGCACAGTAATATAAAAAGCCTCTAACCGACATCTGCCCAGAAGAAGAGAAAACTGAGAGAGAACTAAGCACTAACTTAATCGTCAAGGGGTCAAAGTCGGGAACCACCCAATGAGGGCCTTATGTGCAGGAGCATGGTCATCTCCGGAAGCGCAACCACCTCGACCGAGAGACGCCCTCCTGAAGACGATACTGGCATCCAAACCGAGAGGCGCCCTCCTCGGACGGACGCGACATCCCGCCCCGCGAGTGTGATCAACCTCGACAATCCAATCCACTGATCGTAAACTTCCGACATCGACCCGTGGACCTTGCCATACTGACTTGCTAGCCATGGTGCATCTATTCACCAACAGATATCTTTTGCTTCGCATCCGATCCCAAATCCTTGAAGAATTTGTCCATATTTCTGTTGTCTTCATCGTCCTTGAAACCCTAGTGATTTTCATCCGACCAAGATCGACCATCAATCTGAAATAGATGAACCAAGATCGACCATCAATATGAAAATAGTGCATTATGCATCAAAGGCTAAGCTCCCACACGAACACGAGGATAAAATAAGGGAAGAAAGGATTTGTACTTGGGTATCACAAACATGGACGAAAATCCAATAGCCCAGCAATCATAGATGTCAGTCAAACCTGCATCATCTCCCACATTTGTGTCGAGATATTCTGATGATTGATACATTGTTGTGCAATTGGTAAGAATGAATTTGATTCAAATAAAAAAAAGGAGGCAAAAAAGCAACTTCCAGCAGCTGCCACAGTAGTGGTTGATTATAGGAGAGGTGGAGTGGCGATGAAGCAGTGCATCCATGGAACTCGAGTGTTCGATGTAATTCCACCATCCATGGCTGGCTCAACAAGCTGACATGTAGATCTCCAATGGAGAAGACATCATCTGTACACTAAAAAGCAGAACAAGATTCTGACTTCTGGTTCTCCTCTCCAGATTCTTTTAATAGTTTTCAATGTTTTGGTGTCTTCAAATTCAACAATATAAAAGCTAAATGCTTGCAGGAAAGAAAACAACAAAAGAAGAGAATAACCTGAAAAATGCAACTGTGAAAGGGTTCCTAGCTTGCTAGAATGCATAGATAGAACTTACATCTGAGGGTAACAAAGCACATTCCTGCATCAATAAATTTTTCTTCTGTTTACACAGATCCTCACGATTGCTTCAAGCAATTAGCAGCAGTAGATCATCATTTACTAGATACAACAGCAGCAAATCCAATGACAGCCAACAAGAATACCAAGTCTAACCCTCTTTAACCTTGTTTGGTCCATAACATCTGGGTTAAACCAAAGAATATAAACCGATAACCACCTAATTTAACACTTTTCAACCTTGAATCACGCACTTCCTGAAAGACTACAAGATACACATTAACAAGAGAAAGAAGGGAGAACAGAAGTTTAAGCTGTTCAAACCTCAAAGAGACTAATAAGCAACTACAGGAGCTTTTCTTCATACATGACATGGTTCCTGTTAAGCATGAAAAGGGGGAACAGAAGGCATGAGAATGGTCAATCACATATCTGATATATCTTTTTAAGCATCAGAATAAATTAGAAACAGGCGAGCGATCACTTACACAGCAAATAAGCCTTGAATCTCTTAGAATAAAAAGCTACAATGATCTTCATTTATTCACATTTGCTTAAAATTCGTATCTTTCTTTTGCTAGTTCACCTTTTTATGCTTTATCTTCTGAAGCTGATTATTGTTCTAACAGTCTGGTAAGTTGACCATGCAAGCATTCACATTAAGAATAATACAATGAAGGGTAGCGTCCTACTTGTAGGAGAACCATGGAACAATGGTAAAATTACCTTACTATTATCCCTCTCTGCTTGTAGGGTAAGCTGCGTACATCAACTCTCTCTAGACCTCGTGCACAGGGTTCATGTTTTTTTTTTATTCTTAACATAGTGATATGCTTGATGAGGAATTGATACAATTAAAGACTTAGATTTAATGGGACTGTAAAAGGATATAATTATTGTGTGTATGTGCTCTATAGATGTGCACAATAAATGTTATTAAAAGTCTACCATTTGGATGAAGATTTTATTTTTAGTTTCCTACATTGAAGAAAGCAATAGTTGCTCCAAGCCCTATTTCCTTTACCTTATATTCTTGTTTATTCCATTATTTTATAATCTCTAACTCTTCCTTATTGCCGTGTACTAAGTACATCTTTATATCATTAACCCTCTCCTCAACTAGATACTTGCCAAGCTATGACAGAGATTTGTGATCATATTCAGATCTCTACAGAACCACTAACTCTACAGAAATAAACCAGATGATGACCATGATTTGCGAGAACTGTGACATACATGAAAATTTTGCCTAATTTATTATCTAAACAAGGGAAAGCAAAAAAATAATATTGAACTAGCCACTAGAATGAACACAAAATCAACTATAGTCTTTATAAAAGTAGCACAATCTCGTGGAAGTCAATCCATCAGTACATGTCCAATTATCAAATTAAGAACAATGTAACACAGCCTAGGTAAACATGTTACCGTTTAACAACCGATAATAGCACTCTAAAATCGTGGTTTTGTTACTACATCCCAATGACAACAATTTTCAATAGGACATTTCATCAACAATTTAACATGAACGTAAACGCCAACTAACATTGTAAATTTTACGACCACAGAGCAAGTGGGCAACAATGGCAGTACATCAATGCACGCAGCATGTTTACATGAAATACGACTCATCTATCAATATCAGCAAGATGACTATTACAAACTGCCTAAAACCAAACAAGGCTGGCGATTACCAGAGCACCAACAAGAAGTAACAGTGCCTTCAGATATACATCAGCCTGTTGTCCATGTTGCACATGCCGCGGGAATCCGTGAACATGCCCACCATGAAATGCATTGCCATACCCATAGGGGAACCCTGCACCGGGACCGTAGGCAGTCGCATCAGGAATTCCATGAACCTGAAAGCTCAGAAGTGGGAACAAGCCACCAATAGCTGCAGAGAACGTGAAGTTCCCGAATCTCGTGCTAGCGACAGGGGCTCCACCCATGAACCATGGGTTAGCATGATGGAAATTGTTCGGGTCCGGCGGGGGTGCTGTCGCTGGCCTCTGCCCAGCTGGGCGATGGGGAATGTTCATGCCCGGCAAGGACTTGGACCGTGGATCTGTAGAGTTCTTCCCCCGGCCATAAAGAGGAACTAACTTCTCTTCTTCGACGATGGCCTTGCAAACAGGGCATTCAGAAGACTGGGCATGGCCATGGAGCCATTTGTATAGGCAGGGCCAGCAAAAGAGGTGACCACAGAGGGTGACCACCGGATCCTGGGCCAGCTCGAAGCAGATGTTACATTCAAAGCTGCCAGCATCATTGTTGCTACTGCTTTCCCCGAACGAAGAGTTCTGAGGATCTCTACCGGACGATGACTCCCCAAACCCACTGGCCATCTGGTTGAAGTTGCAAAAGAAGGTTGCAACAGAAGACGGAAGAAAGGCGTCAAAACCACGTTCCGTGGATAAATCTAACTAAAAAACCTCAAAATTTTAACATTTACATTCAAGAATCAGTTTAGATAAACAAAAACCACAAAGAAAGAAATAAAAACCCTAAATCCGGTTAGTGGCACGATAGGCAATGGAAAACCCCAGGCATACACCAACATGCAAAGATGACCGATAAATATGAAGAATTTATAACACCAACGACTAAAAATTAAGTATCAAACCCTGATAAGACACCAGAAAAAAAAAAAAAAAAAAAACCAAGTTCGATTTAACCAACAAGAAAGAATCCTAAACCCAATTGGCGGCATCAATGGATACCCTCAGAGCTTTGTTCAACAAAATATGCGAAAGATATTCAGAGATTTGGATGATCTGGCATCCAACAATGATCAAGAAATACAAAGAATTAGCAACACAAAAGGACCGATGATCACGAACCAATATCGACGTATCGGGAATTAGAACACAACGAATCCAAAGAAAAGCTCTTAAAGATCGGAAAAAAAAAATGGAAGGCATCCATCATTCTAGGGTTCAAATCAAGAACGAAGAAACGATTTAGAACCGTGGTAAGGGGGCAAGGATGAAACCTATGTCGAATAAAATCCACACGGGAAACAAACGCTTGATCGAATTCAAGAGAGGGGAACACATCAGTACCTGAATCGAGCGACGAAAGCTGCGGGAAGAGTCGGCGAGGGATCGGAACGGTTGCGAATTAGAAAGAAGACGGAAGGAACAAAAGAAGGGGGGCGACGGGACGACGCGGCCACCAACCAGGTGGGGAGGAAGCTTCCAGATCTTATCCCGAATTCGGATCTTATTCTAATGGGTTTCGGATCCACCAACGGCCCTCAAACCAACGAAATAGCTGTGCGTCACCGTAGCGGATCTTGTCAAAGCCCAGATTCCATCCGGCCCGGGCACAATTTTAATCTGCATAAATATTATTCAAATTAGTTAATTGAATATATATATATATATAAGCAAATACTTATATCAAGCCCAGATGTAACCACCACGTATGTTCATATGCGTTTAATGTGATTGAGAATATTGTAGGCAAGTGGAGACACTATTTTTAAAGCATTTTTTGCAATGGTGTAACGCAAAGCAAGTTCATTATGATATACATTCTTTACTACTATAATTACTGTTTGTATAAAGTCAACGATCGTAGCTTAGGAGTTCGCTGACAATTCAGTACATGTCCAATGGGAACAAGTTTTTCGTACGTGGTATTTGGAGCTTTGTCATGAGAAAAGTTGTTGGTGGTGAAGTTTTCTTTTTCCCTTCTGTTCTTTTGGGGTGTCGATGATGCTGATTTTTCATCAGTGTCTCTCACCGACCAATCCTTCTTCCTGTTCGATTTCTCACCCACCAATCCTTTCTCGTCCATCCCTTCCGTTTGGTAACCCCTGGGGAAGGCCATTTCTCGTTCCTTTCAGCTCAGGAAGAGGAGTGCTTGGTTCGGCCATGGTGATGAAGAGGTGGTGGAGAGTGGCGACGTACTGGCTGGCGGAGCACCCCGCCATCGTGGGCTTCCGGTGGAGCCATGCCGAGTCCTGGGGCTCCACCTGGCCTTTCCTTATCTGCTCCGTCGCCACCTACACTCTCGCTGTCGCCGCCCTCCGCGTCGTCCTCTGGCTTGTCCGGCAGCGCCGCCCCGTCCCCCTGGGACCCCTCCCCGCCCTCCACTCCCTCGCCATGGCCTTCGCCTCCACCGTCATCTTCCTCGGCCTCCTGCTCTCCGTGGCCACCGAGATCCGCGACGCGCGCTTGTTCTGGCAACACGGCCGCGCCCGCACCACCCCGCTGCAGTGGCTCCTCTGCTTCCCACTCGGCACCCGCCCCTTTGGCCGCATCTTCTTCTGGTCGTACGCCTTCTACCTCTCCCGCTTCCTCCACCTCCTCCGCACCTTCCTCGCCATCCTCCGCCTCCGCCCCGGGCCCCGCGCCGCGGTGCTCCGCCACTCCGCCCTCTTGTGCATGTCCTTCCTCTGGCTCGAGTTCTCCCAGTCCTTCCAGGTCGTGGCCATCCTGTCGGCCACCGCCGCCCAGGTGGTGGTCTTCGGCTACCGCTTCTGGGTCGGTGTCAGGAGAGGCAGCGGCGGAGGAGGAGACGACGCTGCGGCAGTGGTGCTACCGTGCCAGGCGGCGCTGATGGGGTGCAATCTGGCGTGCCACCTCGCGATGCTGCTGCTGCACTTCGCCAAGGGCGGGTGCAACGGGATCCAAGCGTGGGTCGTCAACTTGGTGCTCAACGCCGCCCTCCTGCTGCTCTTCGTCTACTGCTATGTCCACACCGGCACGAAGACGAAGAAAGGCTGGGCTTGGAGGTCGACGACCGCCATTTCGACTGCTCTCACACCCAAAGTGCGGTCTCGGAGAATTCGGACGTGAAAAGAAAACGTGACCTACCATTCATCGCAGAGAATTGAAGTCGAGGCTCAACGTTATTTCCGTTCCAAATAAAATCTCCTCTTTATACAGAATATAAAACGGGATCTTGCAAATTTCCATTTGCAGTTGCTACTCCAGAAAAGGGAAAAAAAATCAGAAACAAACTAATAAATAAATAAAGATTATCCTTTGCACAGATTTGAGTCAAGAGTACCAAAGCGACTACATTTTGTATAATGTGAGAGCAAGAATCGATCTTTTATTTCCACTTTTTCTACTGCTTATATTTTAGACATATTTCAGTTATAAATTAATTATAAATTATCTTTTATAATTAGTTATCTTTAGTATCCCGATCTTTATACTTTTAAAATTTATATTAGAATCACTATACTTACAGAAGTAAAATATTAAACTTTAGTACTAAAAAGATAGTTTTACCGGGTTAAAATTTATAACCTCATGAAATTACAAGAGTAATATGTAGTATCCCTTTGATTGTTTTCGAAAAATTTTTTTGACTTTCATTGCAGAAAATGAGAACCAGTTCTTCAACCACAATACCAAATCATTCAACAAAATCTTCGACAGAGAGTGATCATTCAAAAATAAATTAATTCGGATTCGCATCAGGCACTCGAGTTTTGGGCATAAAGTGTCAATCGAGCAGTTTCATGAAATGAACAATGTAAGATCAATACGGTGGGCTTTTCTTTTAGTACGAGAGAAACGATGATGGAAATGCATACTTGTGATCTGCTTTGTCAATGTACGTGTACATAGCCAGTAGGCGCATCATTAAGTCGTGTGGAAGTCGTGATGACATATATACATATCAAGGTTCTACGAGAACAACTTGTTCGATCACAAGCAGTTAATCTATGCGCTGCTGCATAGATGTTGGGGAAATCAGCTTTCCTCGAACACTTGGAAGCATATTTCTTGTGAGCTGCATCATCACATTCTCAACAGTAAGTAATACAAGGACATCTTTGCATCTGACACTTCATGATTCGTGCTGCGACACTAGATGCTTGTGATGCAGACCGGAGAGTCTTGGCTTCTCTCAAGCAGTGTATGTTCTTTTGTTTGGCCAACTCGAGTGTTTCGTCAACCCCCGGCGAAGTTTCATGGCGGATGCTATGCGCTGCCGAGGAATCGATTGCCATCGCATATGCCTTCGTGCTTTAGGTGGATACATGGAAGAGTCGTGGAGGGAAGCAGGCATTGACCTGTGACGATGACATGGGTGGCAGACCGAAGCTACGACTCAGGTCGCGACTTGGGCTCTGCTTGTGAACTCGTCCGAGATATTTCCGTTCCGGGCGACGCACGCAAGAGTCGATGTGAATCGTGTCTGAATTGGTATTGACTGGTGATGGACACAACGGGGCGGCGTTCTGGATGGATCTCGCCACTTGCGACGACTTGACTTGACTTGACTTGGGTTGGCGACTCATGACTCAAGCATAGGTTTTGGAGTTTGGACTCGCCACACATATTACTTCTTGTCCGATTTGATTAAGCTAAATTAGGTACATATGCATTTCCAAAGATTAAGCTAGATTAGGTACATATGCATTTCCACGCAAGACGAAGGACTCAACTGCGATGCGCGGCGTTTATCTCCATGGATCGCGCAAGACAAGAAGAAACAGCCAAAGATGTTGGGAGAGAAGAACATGTCTGTCACATGTGATTCTACCTTCACAATGGATTCTTGAAGCATGTTAATGTCAGTAAGTAAAGAGTTTTAAGGGCAGACATGAGAGTCATTGGGTAAATACAAGACACTACTGCCTTAAGCAGGCATATCTAAGTGTTGGAAAGGGAGAGAGGACTTCTCGGATGATTAGAAATTGTAGAGATCGATAGAAAATTAAAGAAATATTTAACATGATTTAACAACTCTCACTCAAGCATAATCTCTATATATGCCCCCTTATATAAATATCGAATAATTTATATATTTTCTTTCATTCTATCTAGAAATCCTAGAGAACTCACTTTCTAGAAATCTAAGAGAAAAACTCAAGAACGCCTAAAATATTCGTCCTGTTCTCCTCTATAAAAATATAGATATATATATATATATATATATTTATAAAAAAAACTAAATCTTATTTTTCTCGAATTTTCTTCATTTATAAAAATTTTCTCCAAAAAATCATAAAATATTATTTACCAATCCCAACGACAGGAATGTGTTGAAGTCATTTTCTCTTATACTGAAAATTACCAATCGCTTCACGTCCTCCTTCCATGATTCTGCATTTTTGACAAGTCAAGCTGTAACTTCTTGTTGGTTGGTGATATAGAAGTCGCCTCCAAAACCTAAAAAATGGTTTGCATAGACTTACGTTGATAAGATCAATACTGTTCTTCTTCGTCTATCTTCTAGATCAATCAACGCATACATACCATCTGCAGCTCCCTTCCTACAATCGACAAATCAGCTGTAGAAAAAACTGGCGATCCACTTTGACGATTCTACTCAAAGCTTTTGTCCACATAGATGTTGATTTCTGCACCGTTCATCGTCAATAAATGCCACAACCCCAACGCTCTCCTTGCCACAAAACGTTTATCCCATCTAGAGTGAGAGAGAGGAAGAGATAATGAGGTCGGCAAATTACGCTTCGGCTTTGGTGTGTGCTATGTCCTTGGCCATGGCCTGCACCACCCTCGCGCAGAACTCCACCCAAGACTTCGTGGACGCCCACAACTCGGCCCGGGTGATCGTTGGTGTTGGCCCTGTGTCGTGAGACGACAACGTCGTCGCGTACGCGCAGAACTACGCCAACCAGCGCATCGGCGACTGCCAGCTCGTGCACTCCGGCGGGCCTTACGGGGAGAACCTCTTCTGGGACTCCGGCGCCGACTTCACCGCAGCCGACGCCGTCAACAGCCGGGTCGGCGAGAAGCAGTACTACGACTACGACAGCAACTCGTGCGCTGACGGCCAGGTCTGCGGCCACTACACGCAGGTGGTGTGGCGGGACTCGACGGCCATTGGCTGTGCTCGGGTGCAGTGCGACAGCGGCGCCATCTTCATCATCTGCAACTACAACCCGGCGGGCAACATCGTGGGGGAGCGCCCTTACTGAGACCACCCTATCTTCTTCCCTGTAACATTGTTGAGGGAAGCTATAGCTACGAGCATGCATGTGAAATAAAGCCCCGAGTCTGTCTGCCGTGTTCTGTAAGAACATGGTGCATGAATACGCAGGCAATTAATGTACTCAAACATGCATGGTTATATTATTTCACGTATTAGTTCATGTCTTTGAATGGCTTTTGGGGTCAAAGAGGAACGCATCGATGAAGTATATGTTCAGTTTCAGGTTGCAAGGACAGCTGCTACTTTGCTCATCACACTTATTCGCTAATTCTTCTTCCTTCCACAATTATCCATACATATTTCATGGCGAATTCTCAAATAAAAAATAAAAAAATAAAAAAAAACTCTAAATTTAAGAATTTTAGCACTCTAATTTTTTTTAAATTAGATAGCATTTTTGTTTTTTCAAAAGATCTATCCTACCCTTGTTAACTACTACTCTCCGCCCGCCAACCGTCCTCCCTTGGTCACCTGTGGCTTTAGGCACATCGGGGTTAACTGCCTCGGTCACCGCCCTTTATTGCCTATGCCTCTAAGCATGAGTTAGTCTCGACGTTCATCCCTTCCTCTCCCTTGACCACTAGCATCTATGCGTGTAAGTTAACCCCATCGATCGCTCCTCCTCTCTCCTGGTTGCTTGTGCCTTTATGCATGGGTTGACCCCAACAATTACCCCCCTTTGCATATGCAAGTAGGCCTCGATGGCTAGAGAACACTGCAGACTTACTCATACACCAAAAAGTCATTGGAAGACATGAATTTTATTCGTGAATCATAAAGATGCGTGTTTTGGAACATTGCCGATACGTACTCATACACCATGTTCTTACAGAACACTGCAGACGTACGGCCTTATTTCACATGCAAACTCGTAGATATATGTAAGAAGAAGGTAAGATGGGGTAGTCTCAGTAAGGGCGCTTCCCCACGATGTTGCCCGCTGGGTTGTAGTTGCAGATGATGAAGATGGCGCCGCTGTTGCACTGCACCCGAGCACAGCCGATGGCCGTCGAGTCCCGCCACACCACCTGCGTGTAGTGGCCGCAGACCTGGCCGTCAGCGCACGAGTTGCTGTCGTAGTCGTAGTACTGCTTCTCGTCGACCCAGCTGTTGACGGCGTCGGCTGCGGTGAAGTCGGCGCCGGAGCCCCAGAAGATGTTCTCCCCATAAGGCCCGCCGGAGTGCACGAGCTGGCAGTCGCCGATGCGCTCGTTGGCGTAGTTCTGCGCGTACGCGGCGACGTTGTCGTCCCACGACACGGGGCCAACACCGACGTCCGCCCGGGCCGAGTTGTGGGCGTCCACGAAGTCTTGGGGGGAGTTCTGCGCGAGGGTGGTGCAGGCCATGGCCAAGGCCATAGCACACACCAAAGCCGAAGCGTAATTTGCCGACCTCATTCTCTCGTTTGTATCTCTCTCTTGAACCCTAGATGTGCTATACGCTTTGTTGCAGTGAGAGCTTTAGGGTTGTGGTATTTATAGACGACGAATGGCGAAAAGATTAAGATCCAAGTGGAGGAAGACTTGGAAATGATCGAACTCAACAACGACGTTTTCTACGGTTGGTGTAACCGTGAGCGGAATGTAGCCGCATGTGATCTATATTTATCGATCGACGAATAAAAAGAATGATAGAACGGTTATTATAATTGATAACTACTTACGATAGCCATATTTGCATGCCTTGTTTGTCTGTGATTGTAATGGAGCTATATGTAATCCATATTTATGGATTGAGGAATCGATGCAAGTGGATCTTATTCATGCACCAACTCCATGAACACCTTCCTTTTCCTTTGTTTTTTATGTTGACGGACTCGATCCCCGGTCTTCGTAGAAGATAGTAGTCAGATATGTTCTTCTCTTCCAGCATCTTCATCCTCTATCTTTCTCATCGTTATCCTATGCTTGTATTCTGTATTCCGAGGGCTGACACCGATACGAACCTAACTCAGAAATATAGTGAGAAATCTTCCTCCAATAAAAAACAAGATCTTGCTCATTGAATTCGATATCAGATAATGATAAGTGTGATTCAAACTAATTAAGATTAATATAT